TGGAAACTCAAGACAGCCATAACATTATGATTTTTTACAAGTGTATGTACACTTTTGACCACAACTGTAGGTGCTTTTTAATAAAAAATATTGGATATAAATGCGGTATGCATGTTCTGTGAGACACTGATTAGTACTAAATGCTAATGCTGGCACTTCAGTAAATCACGCAGGTCTCGGAAATAAAGACAAGAACCTAACGCAATGCTTAAATAGCATTTTTTTTTTCTCTCTCTAGCTTGGTTACACAAATAAGTAAGAGAGATGCTTGAAACCACTTTATTTGCAGTGAGTGTTGTCCTTAAATTACTAATACCCTATCAAAAAGGCATTGTTGAGGCAGCACAACTCTATATGGGCTAAAGTGACGGCATTTGAGGTCGTCTCTGAGAACTGCCCAGGTTTGTGGATGATGAAGGGATTGATTACCTGTCACATTGAAGTTCGGAGCTACTTTGCTGTCAGCCAGGGTAAACCAGATGAGTCCCAAACTCATGCAGAGAGCAGCAGACACATCAGTCAAGTTATACCGTTTACCTTGAACACACATAAAAAAAAATAAATAATAAATTCTCATTGGCACCATGCACGGATCTGTTGTAAAAGTCTAATAAGACACTTTTAAAATATTTATAGTTTGAGAGACAGGTTAAAACATAACTCACAAAAGTTTTTCTTTTAGCATTTCACATAATTCCAAGTTTTAGGGGTGATGCAAAAAAACAATGAAAAAAAACAAAAAAACAAAAACGGGAAAGGATAGGAGAAAAACAACAAGATGAAAACAGACTGACGGACGGGTGCCTTAAGGTTGACAAGAGGACGCAGCATCAGGTTAGCTCTGGTCGGCTTTGATTCCCCCCACTTGCCTTTGAAGGGCCTCACATCAGATGCAACCCCGAGAGCCCCTCCCACATCCTTCTCTTCCACTTTCTCTTCTCCTTGCATTCCAAGGGAACAAATGTTTTTTTCGCTCTACCCCTTGAGGGACCCTGGTCCTCACATCTGCTCGTCGAAAGATGAAGGAAACGGGGTGGGGGCAAAAAGAGGAGCACTAAACTCATCTGATGTTTAGGACATGGAACCTTGGGAAGGCCAGTGCTGCTGCTGCTGCTGCTGCTGCTACTGCCGACTGAGCTCTGACGACCGAAGACAACAAAAGGTGGATGAAAAGGATGGAGTGAAAGTTGAAAGGTGATGGCTGCTTCAAAAGATGCCAGCGATCACAGGAACGAGGTGGAAAGTGTCCCTGATGGAAAGTCCACCTGTCTTAGCCGATTACATTTAAACTGTTTTATGTCAAATAAAGACTTGGGAAATGTGGCTATCTACGACTATGCCCATTTATGTTCTGGTTTTTAGGATTTAAAACTTTTTTTTAATGTTTTTTTTATGAAATTGGAACAGATTAAAAAGAAAAAAAAATCAAACAAGCCAAAAAAAAAAAAAAATGCAATTATTGAACTATTGCTTATTCAGATTTTCCACATATTTAAATACTGCTAATGTTAAATTCAATGGCACAAAAAAATAACTTTATAAACACAAACTGATTTATTATGAAGTTCTTCAATGACACCGACAAAACTTCAAAGTATATCTAAATGATGAAAAGCGTTTCTAAGAGTAGCTAACCTTGTATAAAAACTCCTCCGATCATGACTGGGATGAGTTTGCAGCACTTGAAGATGACCTGGGTGGGGTAGTTCAAGTACCCTAAAGAGGTATTGGATAGTCCCATAGTTCCTACTGTTAGAAATGCAATCATCATGTAGGTCTTCCCTGGTATCCTAGACAAAGGAGACCGAGAAAGACAGTGAAAAAAAAAGAGAGGTGACATGGAAATGAAAACAGATTTAGACCCTATCTAGACTAATAGAAAACATTTTCTATGTGCATGTTATTTTCACCCCTCTTTAAAAATAAAATAGTCTTATCCTCTGAAGTCCATCACATTATCCACTGTAATGAGATGCACTAATATTAGGCGGCAACAGCAACAGAAAATTCAAAAGCATAAAATCCAGCAAATTTGTAAATGATTTCCATAAGGTACAGAAACTCTTCAAACAATTGTACGTTGTGTTTTCTTCGACACTGTTTGGCTCGTCAGGCGGTAAGTTTTTCAGTTTACATTTGAAGTTAAATAACGACATATTCTGTAAAAAGTAGCTCCACAGTTGCTACGGTTTCAGGTATAAAGTCTGTAATTGCGGCAAAAACAGTTAATTTTATATAGACGACAGATAAAAACAGTTGTAATGACAAACAAAAGTATACAATTATTTGCATATATTGCTAATGGAAAAATTATTCACAAATATCTGCTGAGGGTAGAATTAATCAGTTCTAGACTGATCATGTAATCAGCTATATTAGATTTTTAATTTGAGATCGTCAAATTAGATTCTGAATCCATAAAACAACCCAAAACAAACAAAAAACAACAACAAAAAAAAACAGTAAAATAGCCATGTAATTTAATATCAGTAGGAAGCTGTGGAGCAACTGTGGAGCTACTTTTTACAGAATATGTCGGATGTTAGTCTTGGTTGCAAGGCTTACGAGTCATATATATTTTGTTTTTCACTCTGTCAACAAATTATTTCATGGACAATTCTTAAATTAAATGACAAAATCTGTAGGTACCTTCTGCGTTTGTCCTGCGTGAACTGAAGCTCAACGAGTCCAAACATGGAATAAAAGCCAAACTGTACCAAAGTGAGGTACCAACCAAAAGGTTTGAATCCTTCCACAGAAAATATTAATTCCTACGGGGTAAGGACACATACAGAAATGAATGCAGAGTACTACCAGAGAAAATCAGAACACGCTTCAACACGAAAACCTAAGAGTAAACGACGGCATGGATAGATTTCATCGGACGTTTCTTTCTTTTCCCCACTTGTATTACCTGCAAATATCCATAGATAAGGTAAAAGAGGAAGACTCCAGCCACACAGATGAAGAACTGTGTTGGGGCACTTAAGCTGCTGAGGTTGATTCCCAGAACCCTCAGCTCCTCCACAGACTTGATGTGAGGCGACATCACCTCTGTGGACGACGGAATGGAGATGGAGATGTGCTTCCGCGAACTGTTGTAACCCACCAGGCCATACTTGGCGCTCATTGTGTCCGTGGCAACTGGAATCTGTGAGAACAAAACAAAACACACAGGAAGGGTGTGAACAGTCAGCCACAAAATAAATATTTAAACAGCAAGAGGTAGATGTTGAGAGAGGTACATCTTCACCTTGTCAATTCTCTTTCTGATAAATGTATCATATTCTCATATAGGGGTGTCACAATCAGGATTCTTGTTGCCGATATTGATCTGAATCATTTAAGAATAGATATTTAATTAAACTAAGAGGCAACCTGATTAATGTCATGCATATGCAGTAAGTTTAACACACTGCAACCCATCCATAGTGGTCTACATCAGTATTGTGATTCTGTAGCTTTTGACAAAAGATGTAGAATGTGTTTTTCTTGCCAGTGACAGACATTTTCTCCCCGTCACACCAGTTTTTGCAGGTCAGTCAAAAATGCAAGGGTTAACCAGATGGTTCAAAACAACATATAAAGCTACGTTCTTTAATGACACACTCCTGGGCTAGGAGAAAAGTAGCATGTTGATACCAGCTATTGATAATTTGACTCGTATTTCAGTGTCGTCCTAGTTAAAACGTTCGAAAAACATTGCTTCCTCACTGAATAACCTTATCGCTTTCTTCTTAACTACACTGTTTCAAATGCACTACTACTCTCCCAGTGCCTGGTGCAGTAAAAGTTTAGTTTCAGCCACAATTCTGGAAGTAAAAATCAAGTCAATTCAGCTAAACATGTGTTTTTCGTGCAGCTCTACTGCAAAATTTTAACAGATCACACAAAATTTTTCGATTCTTTCTTATGTTATTTTATTATCTAGATATTTCAAATGCATTGTTTTTTTAAGACAAAGCAGAAAATGTACCTAGTTGTGGTGGCAAACCCTTCATCAAAATTGCTGATCTGAAACCACAACGGTCCCCGACCTGAACTGCCATTTAAAACTGGCCAAGTTGTATGAATATTTAACTTGACTGACGCATAAAGTAGCTACGTGTTCTGAATAAGACATATTGGATGGGCTACAGCATCCCAGACAGACCAAAATAAAGCATGTCAACTGTCTGCGTTCAATAAACTATGAATTAAATGACCAACAACAGCTGCAGACTTCTGGGTTATCCTATCAAAGTTATTACAAACAAGAATTGCTTCAATAATAGCTCTTCGTTGCCGGCTAAGTTAGCTTTAAAAGCGAACTGCTTACCTTCAGTAACACTTCCGGGAGTCTTTAAGCGTGTATTTCCTCCTTTTCAGAGGCAATGTTTATGGGAATCATTGCCCTGTCCGTACAATCTTCATCTTTTATGTAGTCTAGAGCGTTTCATGATTCCGATTTCAAGTGACAAACAGTTCAAATGCGAAGGTAAACCCGTTAGCCTGCTAAAACCTGCTAGCCTGCACTAGGTGCAGTGGCAGGAGCAGCCAACAACTTCCGCCGAACTCTGAACTCGAACGCTATTGGTCAACAGAGACGCGCTGATGCAGGTGCAGAAAAAATTAACTGCGCGACACATTAATCCGTTTTAGTCAGAACATTAAAAATAAAATATAGTGTTTTGAGAAGAATTAAACAATACGTTGTTTAATAAATGTATTTTAGATGCAGCGGAAACAGTCAGACTGCATAGCAGGTGGACTCACCTGTTTGGAAGAATCCATGTGAACTTGGTGAGCGTATGTTGCCGTTTCCTGTTTCACCACCACTAACGTGCTACTATATAAAAAAAAGAAAACAAATACCAGGGTATCCGGTAAATCCGGTTACCTGAGAATTTCCTGCAGCCATACTATGCTACGTAGGTATACGTAGCATATTGAAGATTGTATTATAGCAATTCAACTCAATTAATCTGAAACGTATATTTTAGAAAATAAGTTGAAAAAGTTTAACTCATGTATTATTGCTTCATTACTGGTCGAGTGATATATTTCGAGTGTTTATTTACACCACTATGGCTTACTGCAATTGGGAACTATACGAAAATGTACATGTTTTTGTTCTTTCTCCGGTTCAACACACCTGAATCAAATAATGTTTAATTAGCAGGCCTCTGGAGAACTGTGACTGTTTGGAGCAGAGACACGTAAAATGGCAGGACAGGAGCTGGACATCCATGGCTTTTTACATTTGTGCAGAGGACAAATGACTTGAAAATTTTCCAGCAGAAACATCTCCACATGGAGGGTAAGTCTCAAGTTCACATAATAAACTCATAACATAAAAAAGTGGAAGATGATCTATATGTAATCAATATCAACTTTTTTTTATTTATATTAACATGTTAAGTTTTACTTTTCCTTAGCTGAACCTAAATGAATCTGAATGAGTACACACTACCGAGTCTGAAAACGATTAGTAGTAGAAGGAGGGAGCCTAACTACTACAGCAGTAGTCATAAGTGCTGTGTTAACTTCTTTGCGTATTCTTGTGAGTTTGCTTAATGTTTGGATGTCTTTCTTGATTTGATTGGCTGACTTCGTTTAAAGTTTACTTTCTACACGTGATAGCAGCTTTCTTGAATGCACACAGGTTGTGTTCAAGGAGTCTGAAAGTTTAATCTTTAGGATTATACCTTTCTGATGATTATTATACATTTTGTCAGGTTTCAAATTAAAAAGAAAATTAGATGTTGCACGAGTTGTCACAACTTGCGTCTTTCCAAACAGTCATTATAGATGGAGGAGGCTCCAATAGCAGCATGTGCTGCAGCAGATTAGAAGAAGCCTCTGACAGAACACAACCCATTATCATATTGCTGTTATATGTTGACCAGTCAGGGGGAAGACTTAAAAATGTGTTTGAATATTTTGTAATATTTGTTGCATTTAAGTGATAGCAAATTATTAAAAAATACAACACATACATCTTGCAAAGAAAAATATATTTTGTTATATTAACCCTCAGTAACATCCTTTCAAGTATGTGTCTTTTAGATGACCAATTGCATTTGATAGTTCAGATGTAATGCCTAACAATATGCTCCATTTCAATTATATTTTGAAACAAACATGATTTTTTTAATAGTATTTATCAGATAGACAAAGAGAAATAAGGTCAAATAGCCAAAGTAGCAAATTATCACTTTTTTTTGACTGCACATTTGTACATTTCTGTACTGAAATGCTTTCAAGCCACTGAAATCATTTGAGACAAAATGTGTATGTGAGTTGTGTGTCACACACACAACTTATGTGACGCCTTTGTATTGTTTCTGTCTTGCTGTAGTCCTGGCTGCTGTTTTCCTTCCGTTCCCACAATCTTTCGAGGCTCCTTCCTTGTTTCACCTTAAGTCGTCATTTTGTTTCTTGCCAGCTCTCCTCTGTCTTCGCCCGGCTTCCACATGCTCGTGAGCTTTCCTTCCCATTGCGCTTTTACTCTCCCCTCCCCTTATTACATTAATTCTTTCTCAGCGTTCTCCATTGCTTCCCCTGTCTCTTGGCCATCTCATATCCCCGCCGCTCCCTCTTTGGCTTCCCCACTATAAGGCATGAAACTCTCTGGCCCATTCGTTGCCCTCCTCCCTCCACTGGTCCCCCCCCTCCCCCGCCCCCTCCACGGCGTCCAGTCTCAAATCGCTCACTCTGCCTGCCTTGGTTTTTCACTCACTCTCACGCTCCCCCTGTCCTCTCTCCCCAGCCAGAGGTTAATACACTCCAGGATGGCATTATTTCCTCCCCGGCCCTCCGACAATATAAAAATTCAGAATGGACAGCTCAATCCCTCTTCCATCTCAGATTTGATTGTAATGGTATTGCCTCCTGTCCCTGGGAGGCCCCTGCTGCCTCGCCAACCCAGCCTTTATGACACTAAATGGCCCGGCTACAATTTTTCCATCTATTCAAAAAATTCTGTTAATAACTCATTTGGAATGAGCCGTCCAGACTCCGTGGACCGACTGCAGCCAGGGCTCTCACCTCTCGGCTCACAGGGGCCGCAATATACAAAAAAGGATGCAGGGCTGAATGGCAAATGCATTGGTTAATTAATCTCTCCGAATTTACAGCCCTCTTTTCCCCAAATGCCCCGTGCACTCCAACTGACAGTCCCAAAGAGACAACATTTTCATATTTACAACCTTTCATGGAGAAAGTGCACAGTGGCGGCTGGAGCTGGTCAGACCACTTTTCCTTCCGCCTTGTCCAACTTTACAAGTGCAGCCATTCATCATGCATGATGGATTTATGTAATAAAACCCATTTTCCTTTTCCATACCACCCTATTAAATAATAAAATAATTATTTATTGATTATTCAAAAAGGTACATATGTGTGGGTAATGACTTTTGAGCATGCTACCGGACCTTCAATAAATAAAGCAGACGGGGGTGGGGGGGAGGAGAAATAAAGTAGAAAAAGAGCGGATAGAGGAAATAAGAGATGAAGGGATATGACTTTTGAACCAGTAAAATCTGGATCCAATTCTGGACTCTTGGAAAACAGATCAGGAAAGACATTATTGGATTTTCAACAGTCTTGTATAAGAATGCAACTTATAATGTGTTTTTATACAGCAAGAAGACAACTAGGTTAGAGGCCTGAACAAAACCAAGATTTAAATTCTAACTTTTCTTTTGAAAAAATAAAAAATTAACACTTGTCATGGTATGATCTCTTTATTTCCCCAAGACAAGCAATTGTTTTTTTTTATTATTATTATTATTATTATTATTTTTCATATAGATTCACAGAACATTTTGCTGGTTACCTAAACTGACTGACTGAAATTTTATTATTATTATTATTATTATTATTAATAGCCTGTGACCTGCAAGTAATTGGATCTTTTTTTCATTAAGCACTGCTTACTTATGGCCCAGGTAACAAACGCACTCTTCAGTTTTGCAGTTGTTACTTCAGGACACAGTCAAGGTTAGGTATTTTTAGTATGAGTGAGGCATCTTCAAAATCATGTCAGTGGAAGTAGAAAGGGTGTATCTGTTTTATAATAAGCTATTTTTTATCTACACTTTGACAGGCGGTCTTGTAGCTTCTTAACTTGTTTTGTACTTTTTCAGTTGTGGTTCTTGTTGTTTCACGGGGGAAAAAAAAAAAAAAAACAAACATCAGAAATGAGAAGCATCCATTTGCCGTAGGATATCAGTCAGTACCCTCCGTTAGGTCATTTTAATGAACCAGTCAAGGGGCAAATGTAGCTGAAGCAAATTTCAGCAGGTAACGGGAAAGGTGAACATATTGCAGCAAAGTTGCTCTGTTGTATTTTTTGAGCCTTCAACCTCTGTCTGTTATGAAAACTGTTGGATCACCAGGGAATAGTTAGTGATTCCAACCAAGCTTCCTGTTCTAATCACTAACACAAACTATAAGTTTGTCTTTATATTTCAGATGGCCCGTCTACACAATGAGGCATCACATCCTCTCCTATAATGAACATGGACTTTGCAAGGCAGGATGGCTAGAAAAATATTTGAACTGCTTTTGATTATTGTTCTTACAAATTAAATACAAAAAAATTGCATTGAAAACCAGAAAACAAACAAGGACTTATTTTCTTCACAGACAGACTCCTGAAGTGTTTAATTCTGAACTTTTAGTCGCCAAAAAAAGTTCTTCTCTGCGTTTTATGAGCTCTCCAGCAGGGTGACGGTGATGACATTTGTTTATTCTTGCTTTAATCTCCTTTCCAAGAAAATACACTTCAACTCCTGTAATCATGCTGCCCTTAACTTCATCCATCCTAATAGTGGTTAATCACCGTCTGTATCGTAGAAAGCTCCAGCCGTGGATCATTTCAAAAGAGACACTTTAATGTCAGCCAGATATTGCGTTGAGGGTTTCTTAATAACCCATTTGTGTTTGGTCTTATCCTCGGCTAAAGTGCACTCACTCTCCGTTGTCTTTTTCCCGTCTTGTCTCAAGCCTCCTGCATGCTACAGAAAACAGATGCTATCTCGGCTATATTACTTCTCAAAGCACTCATATCCTCTCCCATGTTATTTTCTTTGATCTGCTAGGCTTGCTGCCCTTACATTTTTCTTCCTCCCCTCTCTTCCTCTCACACCCTCAGACCCCCACACAGACACACAAACCCCCTCCCGCTTCTTCGTTCTCCTCTTCTTCATTTTCGCTTCCATGCTCTATCCTCTTTTCCTGAGAGCAGACGGAGGAGCCGCAGTGGTTTCTGGTGGCTGTGGATGTCTGAAATTCAGGCCATCGATTCTGCTCTGAATTTAATATTTTTAAACCATCAGAATTAGGTTGGTCACATGTTAACCTATGTGACATTCATTCTAAAAGTAGTTAATTTTCTATCTAAAACATGTACTGTTGATACTCTTAATTAAAATACTCTCTCTCAATCCTGGTTATGAATTTTTATATTTGGCACTAACAGTTCACATCCTACAAATAACTAGTTTACATTCTTGTAATACTGCTGTAATCTATGTTAAACTTTTAAAAAACATAGGCAGTCCTATCTGAAGAGTGATTTTTTTTTTTTCTTTCTTCTTCAGTGAGTCACTGTAGAATTGGAGTAGGAAAATACCCAAAACAAAACAAAATGTCTGTTGTGAGTCTACAATCAAAATATACCATAAAACATGTGTTAAAAAGCACAAATGGCATGGTGTAATTTAAAGTAAATGTAAAAATAAAAGTACCATCATAGATCTGTGATGATAGAGCGCATCTTAAGACTCGTTAAAGATACTTCTGAGCTAGTTTCCTAAATATCAGTGGGTAGTGTGTTCTGTTATATTACAAAACCTTCCCAAAGCTGTTTTAGGGAACTTTTAGCTATTTGGGTGTAGATAACCACATTGTTGTAGGGGGTATAATCAGAAACAGAACTTGTGACGTAATTTGGTATCGGATCATTACGAGCTTCTTCAAATGAAAGAACGAGGATTTTAAAATCACTGAAAGCAACAGAAAGCTAATCCACAACACCGCAATGTTCTCTCCTTTTGGCTCTGGAAGCTACAGAGTTTTGAAATGGTTTGATTGGCAAGTCCTGACCAATAAAATAAAATAAAATAAAATAAAATGAGCATGACCAACATAAACCTCACTGTGGATGAAAGCTCACCCATCCAGGTGTAATATGATGCCTCAGTTGAAAAGACCGTCATGCTGAATACTGTGGCTAAGTTTATTCACAGAAGTCAGAAGAAGTGAAAGCAGACACTGGAGACCAGGGAATCTTTGACTTTCTTATGAGCAGCC